CCACAAATAATGGCTGGGGGATTCTGGGAGTCCTTTTAGGGCCACAAATGCTAACTGGGGGATTCTGGGAGTCATTTCAAATCCACAAATGCTGACTGAGGGATTCTGAGAGTCCTTTTAGGCCCACAAATGCTGGCTGGGGGATTTTGGGAGTCCTTTGAGGCCCACAAATGCTGGCTGGGGGATTCTGGGAGTCATTTCAGATCCACAAATGCTGACTGAGGGATTCTGAGAGTCCTTTTAGGCCCACAAATGCTGGCTGGGGGAGTTCTGGGAGTCATTTCATGACCACAAATGCTGACTAAGGAATTCTGAGTCCTTTTTGGCCCACAAATGCTGGCTGGGGGATTCTGGGAGTCCTTTTTGGCCCACAAATGCTGGCTGGGGGATTCTGGGAGTCCTTTGAAGCCCACAAATGCTGGCTGGGGGATTCTGGGAGTCCTTTGAGGCCCGCAAATGCTGGCTGGGGGATTCTGGGAGTCCTTTGAAGCCCACAAATACTGGCTGGGGCATTCTGGGAGTTGAAGTCCACCCTTCTTAAAGTGACAGTGGCTGGGAAGCACTAGTCCATAGAAAGCAGCCTCCCTCCTTCTGTCTCTCGCAGGCCTGAGTATGGAACTTGTAGTCCTTCCCCTTGAGGTGGCCTTAGTGGTCCAAAGGTCCGCCATGGAGGGCCAGTGAAGGAGGACAGGTGTTTCCCAGGCCGTCACTCTTCCACCTCTTGTTTGGACCCAGCATTCATCACACATTCAGGGTTTGAAATCTAGACCTTGGGCACTTTAAGATTTGTGGACTTCAATTCCCAGAATTCCCCAGCTGGCAAGGTTGTTTTTTTTTTTTAATACCAGAATTCAGTTATGTATAGGACAATAACAAATATGGCCAGACTACTATTATTTTATTTGTTTGATTGGGTAAGTTTTCTTAATAGATAGTGGGAATGAAGTAGATGTGATATATCTTGACTCCAGCAAAGGGAAAAAGAGGAAATGGCTGGGGGATTCTGGGAGTTGAAGTCCAGAGGTCTTAAAGTAGCCATGTTTGGATAGCCCCGGTCTAGAAGGTGTCCCAAATTTGCTGGAAAAGACATATCCTGAAGCACATGAAAGAGGAAGGCTGCCGGGGGAACCTCCTGAGAGAGTGGTCCAGGAACTCTGCCCATGCTCTGGGGCACTCTTGTGCGCTATGCGCTCAGGACTTAACATTAGCGCAAGCCGAACCAAGTACGAAATGAAGAAAAGACTTCAGAAGAGGGTTAGTTGGCAGCCAGTTTCTCTGATCGGTTTGTGCTTCAGAAAGTGCTCTGGGAAGCTGGGGGTGGGGGAATCTAGTCCAAATAGGGCTACCCAGAGGGTATCTTTCCACCCCAAAGCCTAATTTACAGCAAAGTGAACGTGGTGCCTGCCCTCCCGAACCATCTGATAAAAAAATCATCCTCTTTAAATTGCTTTTCCCTTAAAAATATTTTAAGAAAAATAAAATAAAGTAAATGCAAACCAGACCAAAGAAACATGTTTGGCTGAGACCCCGAGACCTTCCGGCCAGGCCTCGTGGCCCTAAAGTGCTAGAGACAAACCTTTGTTTTCTTTGCCGGTGTCCCCGATTCTACTCCTCGTGGCCTCCTTTCCCTCCCCGCCATTCCTTTCCCTGCCCTCTGCCCCAATTCATTCGTGGCCGTCCGGACTCAGCTCGTCGAGCTCCGTGTAAGGCTTGATCTCGCGATCCAACAACGACGGGGTGCGTCGGAATGTGGCAGCGATGTCATCGAAGGTGCGTCCCCGTGTCTCCGGCACCTTGAGGTACGTGAAGGCGGAGAAGATGAAGAGGAGGATGGCGAAGATGAGGAAGACGTAAGGGCCGATCGCCTCCTGCAAGGGGATACCAGGAAAACAAGAGGTAGGTGAAGGGGAGCTTGGAGATCTTCTAGTCCAACCCTCCTCCTATCATATTCCACCACCACCACCCAATTCTTCCCTAGACATCCCCAGTTCCTGCAAGGACTGGCTGCATTCAGCAAGTAACAACCACCATTAAGTTGATTTGCAAGGTGTCCATTTTTCCTCCTCCCTTTCGTGTTGTGCCGTTCCGGTTATCGGCGGCCGATGGCTAAAAACATCTCGAAGGGCCGCCGATCAACACCGAAGCGCAGGGATTAAAAATATGCCTTTCCCACCACCCTTACCCCTGGAGGAGGGCTGGACTAGATGACCTACAAGGTCCCTTCCGACTCTGTTAATCTGTTAATGATTCTGTTATTCAGAAAGGGTGGGAGCTTCATCCCTGGAGGGTTTCAAGAAGAGACTGGACTGCCCTCTTGTCAGAAATGGTGTAGGGTCTCCAGCTTTGGGGGGGGGTTGGACTAGATGACCTCCAAGGAACCCTTCCAACTCGGTTATTATTCTGTTATTCAGAAATGGTGGGAGCTTCATCCCTGGAGGATTTCAATAAGAGATTGGACAGCCCTCTGTCAGAAATACTCTAGGCAGTGTCTCCCGCTTGGGCTGGCAGCGGGTGGGCTTGGACTAGATGACCTCTAAGGTTCCTTCGGGCTCCGTTAATCTGTTAAAAAGGTCTCACACTCACCTGGATGGCCGGGAAACTCATGCCGATGATGAAGTTGCTAGTCCAGTTGGCAAAGCCGGATACGGCCATGGCGGCCGGCCGAGGTCCCTGGCTGAAGAGCTCGGCCACGATGAACCACGGGATGGGGCCCGGCCCGATCTCGAAGAAGGCCACGAAGGCGAAAATGGCCACCATGCTCAGGTAGCCCATCCAGGCCACGCTTTTCTGTGGAGGGAGATGTTCTTCAGAGGGTTTTCCCAGCTGGCAAAAGTCCCGGACACGCAACGCAACCCATTCAGAGAGTCCTCGACTTACCATGCTTCATTGAGTGACCGTTACGGAGTTACCACGGCACTGAACCAAGTGACTTTTCACGCTTATGACCGTTGCAGCATACGCGCAGCCTCGCAATCAAAATTCAGACGCTCGGCAGGTGTCTCGTATTTATGACGGTCTCAGCCTCCACATGGTCTTGGCAAGTGACTTGTATTTATGACAGCCGCAGCGCCCCAGGAGTCAGGAGATGCCCCTTTTGCGACCTTCTGACAAGCCAAGTCCATGGGGAAGCCATTTGCTTAATGACTGGGTTACTGGCTTAACAACGACAGTGATTCACTTAACGACTAAGGCAAGAAAGGTCATAAAATGGAGCAAAACTCACTGAATAACTGCCTCGCTTAAGAACACGAAATTTTGGGCTCCATTATGGTGCTCCTAAGTCAATAACCATCTGTATCGGTTAATGATTCACTTAAGGACCGTGCTGCTAAATTAACAACTGCAGCGATTTGGTTAAGAAAGGGGATGAAGGACTTCCGGTGGCACTTCCGTCGAAATCAGATCGGAGTCCGTGATTGTGCGTTGCTCCGATCCGAGCTCTACTTGTTGGAGCATCTCAAATGAGACTACTCACCAGACGGAGGCTACTCACCAGGAGGAGGAGTGAGGTCATCATCAATAAGGCACAGATGCCCATTCCGAATAAGCCCACCAGGTGTAGCGTCCGCCTTCCTGCCCGCTCGACCAGGAACACCTGGAAGAGAGGACAAAGGTGAGGAAAAGGTGCTGAGACTCCTCACCAGAGGGAGGGAGAAGGCCAGGTGGGCAATCCTAACAGCTGTTCGGTTTCTAAAGCAAATGATTGATAGCAATTTTTGATTTTTATAGGGGGTTGGACTAGAAGACCTCCAAGGTCCCTTCCAACTCAGTTATTCTGCTATTTCTTTTTTTTTAAATAAACTTTATTAGTCTTTTATATCTTTAAAAACTGAACAAAAAATATAAATATTATGACATTAACAATGTGTGGCAACACTCATATACTTCTATTTTGTGCTTATTTACAAATATATACAGTTCATGCAAATATAAATCTTTAATATGTAAAATGCTTATCATTACCTCTTTTCATCATCCCTTTGTCCCAATTTAATCCAATCATACAATTTTTCCCAAATTCTATAATATTGAGACTCCTATTTCTCTTGTAACATCAGGGTTAATTTATCCATCTCGGCACACGCCATTATTTTTTGAATAATCAATTGATCTGTTGGTGTAGAATTCTGTTTCCAACATTGAGCATAGGCAGTTCTAGCAGCAGTTAAGATATGTAATATTATTATATTTTATATCTTTCCCATATTTCTTTTTAATCATCCCTAAGAAAAATAATTCTGGCTCTAAATCTATTTGTTTATTCTGCTATTTCAATGTCTATAGCAACTGATAGCAATTTTCGATTTTTATAGCAAATTGAGCAAGGGGTTGGACTGGAAGACCTCTAAGGTCCCTTCCAAATTTGTTATTCTTTTATTCTGTTATTTTGATGTCTACAGCAAATGATTGATAGCAAACATCCGTACAGTATTGCCAAATTTTGTGGAGCATGGAAGGAAAGGATGGATGGATGAATCTTTTACCAATATTTCTCAGGCCTTGGCCATTTTATGTTATGTGGACTTCAACTCCCAGAACCCCCCAGCCATCTCTTTTTTTTTTCCCCCCTCACTTTGCCGAAGTCAAGTTATATTAAGTTCACTTCAAACCCACCATCTATTAAAAGTTACCCTATCAAAAAAAATGTGATCAAGGCGTTTAACCATATTTATTCTTGAACCCTGAGGCCATGCTTGCTGGGGAATTCTGGGCCTTGAAGTCCACAAGTCTAAAAAGTTACCTGGTTTGGAGACACACACACACACACACACGGTGGTGGTGAGGCGGGATCTCTTACCGAAATGATGGTGAAGATGGTGTTAATGATGCCTGTCCCGATGGTCGCGTAGATGGGCTGCTCCAGGCCAGCTTTGGTCAAGATGTCGGTGGAGTAATAGAAGACCTAAACAGGAAGGGTGAAGGTTCTTCCTGGTCCTTGAGGGGTGGGGGGGGAAGTCCCTTCTATGCCGCGCGAGCAGATGAGATGAGGAGTGACAAGGCAGGGAGGCCGGGCCAGCCAGAATTTTTAATACTGGTTCCCTCGAACCTGCCCGAACCGGCTGAATCCCACCTGTGGTCCACCAGCAGCCTGCGGAGCTGACAGTAAAGTTGGACAGTGGGGAGGAGCATGGGCCAGTCCTGGAGTCTGGGGAGGGCTCGGACGAGGGATCTGTGTCCGACACAGAGATGGGGCCAGAGCCATCCGAGAGTTATGTGCCAACTCCGGAGCCTCCAGAATCTGACAGCAGTGAGGAAGAGGAGTCTGTTCCCAGTGCGCACATGCGCAGAGCTGTCAGAAGGCAAGAACAGTTAAGACAAAAGGGGTGGCTTGGGAGTAAGACTGGGAAGTAATTGTCCCCTCCCGTAAGATATAAAGGAGGAGCAAAGGGATAGGAGCCTTTGCAGGAAGCAACTTTTGTTCGTTCTGGTCGGTTTTAAACTCTGAAGCTCCGTGTGGACTTTGTGCTCCGTTTGGCCTTGTACAGCTAATGGGCCATTTAGTCGTTGGCAGTATTTCAAAGGAGATAAAGGTGGGTGCTTTATCCCGAAGGCTGTGGCAGATTTCCATTGGGACTATTTACAAACTGTTTGGGACTCATTATGGGCTGGGAATGACTATAATTCACAGCTGTTGAAATTAAAAAAAAAACAAAGTTTTTGGGAACAGCGTGTGATTGTGACGGTCTCAGGAAGCCCTTGGTCAGAACAACACCACTGCACTCACTGCGTTGATGCCCGACAATTGCTGGGACAGTTGCAGAACCACAGCGATCAGCAACGGCTGGCGGTAAATGCGGGAACGGAAGAGCTGGAGGATGGAGACTCTGTGTTCCATGTCCATACGCCGTTTCTCCTCCTTCATCTCCGTCAACGCGGCGCTCACATCCTGATAGCCAGTCAGCCGCTTGAGACCTATAAAGGGGGACCCATGCAGGGGAGAAATTACTGTGTTTCCCAAAAAATAAGACCCTGTTGTTTTTTCTTTTTGTCACCAAAAAAGGCACCAGGTCTTATTTTGGGGGGGATGTCCTCCACGGACTAACCTCACTTGCGCGCGTCACCCCCGGCCTCCTTCCGGAAGTCCTTCTCCTGTGGCTGGCAAGGCTTTCTTGGAGGCTACTGCAGCCGATAACAGACTCCGGATCGATCCAGAGCTTTGTTATCAGCTCCAGAAGCCTTCAGGAAAGCCTTGCCGGCCTTGCTGGCTACAGAAAAAAAATGGGCCGGCCAGGTGTAGAGTTGTAATTGCAGGAATGTTCCAATCTCGGATGGCAAACCTCAGATAAAGAATGTTTCCAAGCAAATACAACTCAGGTAAACAAAGTCACTAATCTAAAAGAGGATTAGAGAGAGGAAGTAAACATATGTTAGACTTTAACTAGAGATAATTGTATGGATTACTGTGCTAGATAGTAACGAAAGTTAAGCAGTAACAAAAGTTAACCAATGATGGAGGATAATTAAAAATGTGTATAAATGCAAGACTAGACTCCAATAAAGATCATCATGATTCAGTTGTTCATGATCAAACAACTCGACTGCCTCGTCATTACAACAAGTGGCGCATGAACAGGGACCCTCTTACTTCATCTGGCAAGGATTTGGTGCACCTTCAACTCTTTGTGGTTTCTTCAACCTTTTGGTTTCTGTAAGTATGGGGTCTTCGCTTTCTGAGGAACAAAGGAAGCATGTAGATGAATTAGGCTATTTGTTGAAGAAAAATAATACCGAGGTACCGGACTTCCTGTTTGCAGGGCTTCGGCGGCAGGCAGGAATCCGCGATCGTGCGGGGTTTCTGCCTGGGCTCGCCGCTGGAGCATCCTGAGCCAGCTGCCTTCGGGGCTAAGCCACCCCATAGAGGTGGTGAAGACGGGGGAGACCCAGCAGGGTTTGAGGGGAGCCGCACCTCTCCTCCTCAGCTGGCTAAACTCCCTTTCCCGAAGGCGGTAAGAGCGGCGGTCAGAAATGGCCACCTCAAAGAAGCACTCAGCCGGAAAAGAAAGTGCAGGAGGAAGTTAAGAAGTGAAAGTTTTTGGCTGACTGGGACAAAAAGTAACAACCAAGGTACCCTGGAATTTAAATTTTGCAAAAGATACATCGCTCCCAAAGAAGAGTCGGAAGCAGCGAATGAAAGTGAAAAGGGAAAGTTTTTTTTCCTTCACTCTCCTTCCTCACGCTGATAACGAGAAGATCCGAATAAAGAAATTGGAAAAATCCGCTTTGGCACCAACAGGTAATTAAACTGGAAATATAATTAAATGCCAAAGGGACAATAAAGATTTCTGAACACTAAAAAAAATATTTTTTTGCTATAAGTGGGAAGGGAGAGGAAAAGAATAAGGGCAGGACTTGGAAGGAGGAGACTGCTTGGAATTCAAAAGAATTTAAAGTTAAATCTTAACAAGACTTCTAAAGGATACATTTTAACTGGAACTTTGCAACTAAATAGTAACCCCAAGAAGAGAAAGTGAAAAAAGAAGAAAGCGTTAAAAGAAATAGCTTGTGTGTATTTGGATTGCTTGGGATTGATTTTGGGACTTTTGGAAATCATATTTGAATGACTAAAAACAATTGGGTGGTTGTTTAAAAAAAAAACCCTCTACAATGGCATCACCTCTGGATGAACTGAATGAACTGAAAATTGAATTTAAAAAATATAAAGAATAGGAACAAGAAGGGAAGGGCTCCTTTGGCTCCATCTTTCAATTCTTAGAAATGGCGATTGGTGTCTACAAGAAACAACAAGAAAAGACCGCGCAACAAGAAGATTGGGACAAAGAAGAAGCCATTTTTAATGAACA